AGAAAATGGTATATTCATGAATCAATTTGATTGTGTACCAAACCCCTTAGTTCCAGTGTTAAACTTGATTTATCCTAAGAATATATAAGGCAATCTCTGTGCTAACAATGTGCTGCTGTAAGAGTTCTGGATGGGGGTGCAGCCAGGGGGGAGTAAGCAAGCCCAGGCCTTTCGGTTGAGGTGGGGAGAAATGGGACCTCTGTGGAGCTGGAACATGACAAAAAACAAAATAAGCAGCAGCAACAACAACCCCCAGACAGCAAATCTGACTGTCCTGGCGTAGGTAATGCATTAACAACTGGGATGTGCGCACTCTAAGATCTGCTTCGCCTCTCCCCTAAACCCATGTCTCTGTGACCATGCTGCCTGCTGCTGCACCAGGGATTTACTGCTTTAAGCAACTATAAACATTGTATTAATGGCAGCCATGACTACTAATGGCCACTTGGGAGTACAGGGTGTGCAGTTTGAGGCCAGAGATGATAATTCCTGTTGTCTCCCCATGGTAGGGCACACACTATAATTTGATAAGGACAAAGTCACTTAATAATTGTTATTAAAGGCAAGCATCTCCATGGATCAACAGCTCTTTTTAGCACATTTTCTGATCTCACTTTCCTCTCAAACACAGGGTTATTGTCCACCTGGAAAGACACCAAAGTGACAGCCAGGAATCTGCCACTGCCGCCCCTTCGGCTGTTCCTGCCATCACATTTAATTGTGTTTGCTCAACTTGAAGCCAAACTCATATGCAGTATATTTACATAGCTAAAACAGCACAGCACTCTACTGTATTCAAAGATATTTTTAACACAATTCTTGGGAACTAGTCTGAGTAAATAAGAGAAAGAAAAAAGAAGCAACATAAATCCGACCCACTGACAAGGCAAACGATATCAAATGGCAGTCTGGAGACCTGCCACGAGGAAGGAACAGGGCATGCCGTCCATGCACTCTCCAGAAATGCAATCACCACCTCATTTAATGGGCTGGATTTATTTTAAAGTGAGAGAAAATGGAAGAAGGGACATAATAGTAAGAAGCAGGGATAAGAACCTTTATTATTTCAAAAGATCAATGTACAACCCCAGCACTTGCTCTTCCAGAACACTAAAGGGAAATGTGTAGAAGTAAACCACGCGCTGATTTTGTGAACCTCCAAGGAGTTTTTATTCTCTGCAGTGGCAAACTTTCTAAGTAGAAACATGTATATCATTGATGCATATTCAGGATCTCTTTCATAAAATCTCAGATACTTCTGTTCTTTCAAATGCTGCAGAAAAAAAATCACCCATAATTAATTTGCAAAGGCTAGACTAGATACTCTTGGCTGCTAACTCCACCTTAAAGTTTTTCCCTCCCAGGCTTAGTGTCCTTTAACAAACACAAACCCTTTCCCTCCAACGTTGGAAGACTTATGAATCAGATATTGAACAGCAATCATTGTTGCGGACAGGATTATGGCTCAAATGGGCCAATTAATTAACAACAAAGACCAGTTTCCTGTGCTTTTAATCTGAGCCAAATTTCATGTAATAAAAATAAGCCGGACATTTTAAACAGAAAGATTACAACTAACCTGCCTGCCTTCCACATGTTGAAAGTGTGAAGGATAAATATACATTGGTATAGCTTTTTAACTTACTATTTATCAGAGAACATTTTGTATACAAATGTGGTCATTAATATAGAATCACATTCAGGGACAACCCACCCTGTGCTCACCTGCCAGGAGCCAACCTTTCCTGTGAATTCCTAGTCTTCATTTATTATTCCAGCTAGCGCTGCCTAGAGCCCACTCTGTGTCCAGGCTGTTTGAGGCAGTGCTATCGGTGTTGAAACAAGGCAGCTACAGTGCTAATCTCATAGAATTTATGCTTTACTGTAAAGCATATGTTTGAAAAGGAAATCTAAATGAAAACTTAGATTTCAGATTACAACTAGTTAAGAAACACTGCAGAGAACAGAATGTAAGGTGACACAAGGTTCTTTTAAGTAAGTGATAAGGCAAGAACACTTGCCCCAGATGGAATGGTGTTGTCCTTGTGAATTGCTGGGGGGCCTTACTATGGAAAATAATAGAGAGAATACAAGGAACCTGAAGAAGCAACCCATAGGGTGTCCTGGATTAGAGAGAGGCACTTTAATGTGAGGCTATTGCCAGGCCCAAGGCACACCCTGACAAGGGTTGAGGTGGCCACTTCAAGCTTTACTCTGCCTTTGGAGTCAGCACAGAACCAGCCCATGCACTAACAGCCAGAAAAGCTCTAGATACAGATGTTGCTGAGACCTACATTTCTCTTGCATACATATAAACTACCTCCCAGTGCTCAGCTCGGAGTTCTTTCTCATGCATGGCCTTCTTGGCCTCTTGATTCTTGATGTTTCTCTCCCTAATTGTCTCCTAAGCCTAGGTGTTCTAGGCCCTGATAGCTGTCTTGTGAAGTACTGATTTAGGCCTGAAAATTCCATAAACTTGGTGGTCTAGGGCCTCTATTTCAAAACTATTTATTTATTCATTCATTCATTCATTCATTCATTCATTCATTCATTTATTTATTTATCTATTTATTTATTTATTTATTTATTTATTTATTTTAGAACTAGATTAAACATAGGGCCTCATACATGACAAAAGTCCTCTGCCAACTGAGATACAATGACTCTTCAGTACCTGACAAAAATAACACTGGACACCTTCCTGCAAATGTATTTTGACTTACAAATATTTTAACACTCGTGGTATGTCAACTTCATGGAGTAGCTATATAATTTCTTTTCTCTATCTAGAAATCTAAAGTCAAAGATAAGCTCCTGAGAACCCAGCAATCCTACTTTATTATGCTTGTCTTGTTCTTGGGATGAGGGAGGCCTGGTCTGGTCACAAGGGCATTTTTAGAAGGGAATCATGTGGATGCTGTCCTCCCAAACAGTTTTATGTTTGTATATTGAAATCAGTCCGCCTCACAGCATCATGTCTATAGACAACACTCACAGCCTCGTTCATGCATGCACGCCACAGTAGCTACGACGTTATCACCACGGAAAGAAGCAGAAGGGAGTGAGCATTCATGTACTTGGTGATTTGGCACCAGAGAATGGAACGCATACAGCTGAGCTGCTCTGCAGTCTCCGCCTTGGCATTGCCTAACATGAGACGACACTGCAGGTAAGAAATGTCAGCTTGTAGACTTTGGGCGACAGGCACAGCCCTCATTCTAAAGGTTCATTGTTCTGCACTCTCATTTTCAATCACGGCCCCTTCAGGTGATCACGCTATCAAAAACTGAAAACACGATTTTAAAAAGTCAGCATTTTCAGATACGTCAGAAAGAGAGAGAGTGCTTTAGAATTCTAGGGAAAAACAACAGAAACCATTTCCTTACTTGCTCAGTGTCAATCCAAACCCATAACTAAGATTCTTAAAACAAATGAAGTGATAGCTGATATTACTCTCAGGTGTCTCTCCTCATTCTAGGGTAAATCAATTAGGCTCATTGTTGCTTGTGGTGTCTCAGAGTTTTCAGTAGAATGCTTTTCATACCGTTCTTTAAAAATCCAAGGTTCTTACTAAGATGAGATTCTAGCTGCTTTTATTAAAGATTCATGAGCCTTTTCCAAGGGAACTGCTCTGACCTGTTATTCCAGAGTAATTTTCTTAAACTCCTACTCACTGCTGTACATATCTCAGGAAAATAGACTTTGATATTCAGTGACATAATTAAAATATAGTATTAAAATATACTTATTAAACAGATAACATGAATTTCTGTTAAAAGAGAAATTACTTAGATGGCTCACATATAATACAAATGCAGTGTGTGTTCAAGGCTATCCTGTCCCTAGAGTGCTCTTTAGTTGATTAGCAGCAGAAATTCATGACTAAATAAAAATTAGGAAATTAGAATGGTCAATCTGTATAAACTCAAAACTTTCCAACGAGCAGGGGAAAAAAGCTTCTTTTCAAGGTTATTTCCAAATAATAATTTAATATTGGGAACACAACATATAATTTGGTTCAACAGGGGGCCTTGGCCTCCCTTTCATCAACACATTTCTCACAGTTCCAGATAACCTGGGTACAAGACTAGAGGACCTCCACCACACACTAAAAATGAATAGCTCTCAGGCTACATGCTGAGGGAAAGGCTCTGTCCTCCAAGAAGAAAGTGGTTATTCTTGCACGGTGGTCCTAATAGACAAATGATCTTAATTTATATGCAAAATATTAGAATACTATTATGACCGTCTATATGAGGTATAATTTTTTACTGCTAATATTGGTGTTTTGGTTTTTTGTTGTTTTTTTTTTTTTATAAACATTCATTTTGGAATACTTCAATCTTTCTTAGACAAGCTTTTTCACATGCTCAGATTTCTCAAGGATGACATAAAAATCTACTATGTCCTTGTCATTATTCAAGGAAATGATATTCAATATTTTTGCAAAGATATAAGGATACAACACAAAGATTAAGCAGAAATCAATTCTCATATTTAGCTATAAGCCTAAAAATGAAAATAAAAGTGTGTGTGTGTATGTGTGTGTGTTTAAAACAATATGCAAATGAGGGTATAATAAGACAGTGCCAAAATAACTGGCTGAAAAGTATAAAATTCAGTCTTGACAGTCTTTCTTACATTTGCCCTGATTACACTGGTTGATTTTCTCTGGCATTTTGCATGCACTCATGAAATTCCTGTAAACAAAGGTATACCCTGATAATGACATTCAGGTCAGTAACTTTTTGTGTTTACAATAGTGAACCATTCAATATACAAAGTAAAAAATAGAATTAAGACAAAAATCAACTAATTTTGTAAATATTCATTACGGGAAATAGAATTGTGAAGGTGTACCAATAACTAGTCCTGTTTTTTAAGATGAGCAACTAAACATAAAACAAGAGATTACTTTGCCAATAAAATGTTTTCACTCCTCTCCCGTTGACATGCACACTCCATACACACTCCCGAGCCCCGCACTACCGTCTTTTCACCTGTTTTTGAGTAGTGCACCAAAGGTCGACTTATCCAGTCCCAGGTAGTGTGGCAGCAAGTTTGACCAGTCCCAGCGCCATGTTGCTGTGACCGCCTGTTGATAAATGAGAAGACGCTGTTGTTGGTTATTAATCAGAATTAACATGATCAGTGAATTAAGGCCCAGCTGCGACACACCAACTAAGCCGGGCGGGCTCAGAACAAGGACTTCAACAGATAACATCAACCAAGTCCACAGAAGGAGGCGTTTATTCCAATAAGACAGCAATTAGTTTATAAATCCATTTGGGGATGTAGTCATTCCTTATAAATTAGAAATCAATTTCTTGATTTGTTATTTCTCCAAGTGTTAGTGGCATTTACCCAACCAGTTTTGTTGGACGCGTGACTCGGAAAAGCGAACACTGTGACTCGCCAGCTTTGCGCCTACGACACCGCTTCACAACTCTGTACCTAGAGTGGACCACAGACAGAAACCTTGGGAAGTGCTGAGCCTTGGGCACCAGGATGGGGCTTACTTACAGTGGGGCACTGTTGTTGTTTTCTTTTATTAAGAAACTGTTTTAAGGGGAAAATTATAAGGACTTCCAAGTGTAAAAGCATACATGATTCTTTTCTCTCATTAATAGGTAATTTCACAGCAGAGTAAGGAGAAAAATTACTGTGAAAAATAATCTCAATTTAGAACTTGGTTAACATGCTATTTATTTAAATGATGTAAGAGTGATTTAATAGCTACAATAATTATTTATGACTTAGAGTAATCTAATGTGCAGTAGAAGAAAGCAGCCAAAAGCCTTACCGTGGTGTATGCTCTGTAAAACTAAATGGTTTGGATCATAAAACTACAGCATGATCTTTGAAATCTAAGCAGAGCTCTCCCTTGTCACTGCTGATAAATCGAGCGCTACAGCCCTGTCATAGAGCAGGAGAAGTTGCCCCAGGTTGTCAGCATCTGAAGGTCTTATTCTGCTACAGTATTGATGAATGTGGACGAAAGCTGTAGCAGGCATGGTTAAAGTATTATCTGCATGCCAAATTAGGCCAGTGTTTTAATTCTTATTTTCATCAGCACTCTAGGTCAAGCAAGCCTTCTCTTCTGCCCTGCTAATTCAAGCTGTCTGTCAAGAGGATTCTGGAGAGATGAGAGATGTAAGAGGGAGAGACACAGAGACAGAGACAGATACACACACACATATACACACAGAGAGAGAGAGAGAGAGGAAAGACCAAACAAAGCAAAAGAAATGAATAATTTTTCAATGAAATTACTAAAGTACACAGCTAAACAACAGCAAAATCTGACTTTTAAAAATATGTTGTGTTTACCATTGTGACTTTATTCTAAATGTTTTTGCCTTAAAGTCATTAGAAAATCCATTTTAAATTTGTGATGTGTCTAAGGTTATAAAAAGCAAATTTATCTCATGCCATTTATAATAGGGGCTCAATGCCCTATCATTCACTAAAATGCTTTTTAATTTAGCTGATACATTCACAGAATCAGAGAGATGTTGAGTGAACATGTGTCCTGAAGGAGGGGACAGACTCTCAGGGGGTTGTTTTATCTTTATCTTGATAAAGATAAATGCTTTATCTTGATGCTGGTTGCTGGCCCTCAAGATCTGGTTACTCCCTGATACACCTATCCTTGTGTAAACCTCCCTAAGACATTATACCTGATTGGTTGGTTAAATGGCCTATACCCATACCCGGGCAGGGCAAAATGAGGTAGGCGTGGCTAAGGTCCCCAGGCTTTGGGTTCAAGAGAATCAGGGGAGACAGATGGACAGGAGAGGAGGAAGGAGGACTCCACCATGGGCGAGTGTGAAGAAGCCACCACATGGGCCAGGAAGAATGACTCAAAGGATGGTGTGGATGGAGAAAACACTAAGATAAAAAAAATAAGCAAATATTTATAAGATTATGGATGGCAAGTAGCCCAGATGAGTATGGTAAAGGCCAATGGCACTGTCTGGGGGCTGGGATATGGATGGTGAGGGTTTTGAGACAGGATAGGTAGAAATATCTGCCCAGCCAAAGGTAATAGGGCAGTTATAAAATCTAACAAGTATCTGTGTCTCATTATTTCTGATAGTGGGTTAAATAATACCACTGCAATAATTTTAGGGCAAAATAAATAAATAATACATAGCCTAACCCACCTTTTAATTTACTAAAAAGCCACATAAAAGTGAGCTTCGCTTCTTAAACAAAAAGGAGAGGAGCTATACATACAGTATAAAATGTGGGTGTGTCCTTTCACTTTTGACATACAGAAGCCTTACATTTCAGTTGACTTTGACACCTATTTTCTACATACCTGATCTAGCATGTTTTCAGTAAAGACCTTGTGCACATGGAGAGGGTTGAAAGTGGGAGGCGGATCTTCATGTCTGAAGGCCGTCTTCACGGGTCGGGTTGCCAATGGCTTCTCTTCTGAACCATTCATAGCACTCAATTGTTCTTTTAAATATTCCTTCAGGGAAAGATGCTCTGGTCAGGATGGTGAGAAGTGTATATTCTCTTTAAAAATAAACTGGTCATATAACCTAGAACCCCAGCTCAGATGTAGCCCGTGGCAGCTCAGTGTCCAAGTGGGTTCCCTCAGAAGGGGAACAGGGACTGTCTCTGACATGAAATCAGTGCCTGGATCTTTGATCACCTCCCTCTGAGGGAGGAGCAGCCTTATTGGGCCACAGAGGAAGACAATGCAGCCAGCCCTGATGAGACCTGATAAGCCAGGGTCAAATGGAAGGGGAGGAGGACCACCCCTATTAGTGGACTTTGGGAGGGGCATGGAGGAGATGAGGGAGGGAGGGTGGGATTGGGAGGAAATGTGGGAGGGGGATACAGATGGGATACAAAATGAATAAACTGTAATTAATATAAAAAATAATTAATTAAAAAAATAAACTGGTCAATATTCTGGCTCACCCTTCCAATACATTATCTAGATTACAGCTTGCCTCAGGAAGAAAATACACCCCAAAGATACATAGCTGAGTACATATCACTATCACAATAAAGCTATCAAAAGCAAGTTAAAGCTAACGTACTGCATAGTTTTAAAAACATTTAACAAATTCTCCTATGATAAATGACAGCTTGGTGTGTCACAATCATTTGACCAGGCATTGTCTCGCCATTGACTTCATATTTTAGCATGTCTGGCTACCAAACCATAACTCCAGAAATGACTATGCACAGGAAAAGATTGCCCATTCATTCATTAAATATAGTTGCTCCACACTCTGGGCTCAGCTGAGCACTAAGCATCCTGGTTTTACTGTCAGGAGTCTCAGTCTGGGAGGGACTACTTATATTGCAAATTCCTACACACTTAATTTCTATGCTGAGGACTGAAAACTATCAAGGCTCGACAGAAACCCAAAATACGTAATTCTAATCATCTAAGTGCTGGTGCAGTCCTGGACAAGAAAAGACAGTCTCCTGCATTACAGCTCATTTTCTGCCCATGAATAAGTAAGGTGAATATCCTGAATCTGCTTTATGAGACTCTTTTTGGAAGGCAACAAATTAAAACGACTAACAGAATACCATCAACCTAACAAATGCTTGCTATTAGTAAATGCATTTAATAAATTAAAATAAAGGTTTGCCTGCCTTTTAATATACCACCATGCATTTTTCCACGTGAGGTTTGCAGCCTGCACACATTTTGGATGTCAAAGCTGCAAAGGACTCCAGGGCTCATCCCCAACCGTTGCTACCTTCTGCACTGCACAGGTGGCAGCCTCGCCTGGGAGCTTGCTAGACTCTCAGCCATCACCAAATCAAATCATACGCGAGCAGGAGTCTCAGGGGGTGGAAAAGAAGTTCAAAGTTTGAAATATTCCAGCCCAATGCCACACTCCATGTTGGGCTCTGAAAGGTGAGAGGAAGCGCCTGAGGGTTCATGGCGTGAGTATTGCATCTGTGACAAGAAGCCACCAAATCTTGCCCTGGTTCACCATACTTATGTGTGTGTGTGTGTCTATACCTTCATGAATGTACATCGTGTCCATTATGGAAGGCAATTTTCAGTTCTTAAATGCTAAAAATCTAAATAAAGTACTACTTTAGTTATCAATAACAGTGATTTCTTAAACTTTCTTACTGCACAGCATCTTATTAGATCAGTTATGTAAGGGCACAAGTCTCTTATTAAATATGATTAGGTAATGATAAATCCATGAAATTATAATTTTATGACTATGGTATAAACTAGAAACAAAAATTTTCTCCATCAAATTTAAAAGTTTTTTTTTTAAGGAATAAAAAATCTCATTGGAAAAGAACAATTTATGAACAATTTTTCTTAACTCATTTCCATTGATATATTTATACTTTTCTGCTTCCACTGCTTAACAAAAAAGTAAATTTCCTGCCAGTTCTAAAAAACACTTTCTCCTGAGTTTTCTTTGCTGCACTGGTAGTCATCAGTCCTCAGGAGAGTATGTTTCCAGGGCCAGCCAGACGTTTCATTTAATCAAAGCTCTTCTGCACAGCCCTTGTGATCTGAAGGAATCTGTTCTCTGAATCCATGTGAAGTGAAAGGCAAGAAAGCATTCTGCAAATGTGTCCTCTGACGTCCCAATGTGTATAATCACACACAGGTGCACATACGATAACGCAGCAACAGTGTCTTGAGACTGGAAAGATGGCGCGGTGGGTGAGAGCACTGGCTGTACACGGATGAGGTCTGAGCTCAGGTCCCAGCATCTACATAGAAAGCCAAGCATGGTGCCACACACCTTCCACCACAGCAGTGGGGTCCTTAGGGAAGTGGAGGAGACTCAGACAGCAGGGATGCTAGCTCCAGATTGAGACTGAGAGGCTGTCTGAAGCACGGGTCCTCAACCTTCCTAATGCTACGACCTTTAATATAGTCTGTCATGTTGTGGTGACCCCAATCATAAAATTATTTTCTCTGCTACTTTGTAACTGTAATTTTTCTACTGTTATGAACTATATAAATATCTGATCAGCAGAGTATCTGATATGTATAGGGGTTGTTTGACACTCCCAAAGGGTGGAAGCTCACTCTTTGAGAAACCCTGGTCTAAAGAACAAGGTGGTTATCCAATTGGTGTTCTCTTTCTTCCCTGAAGACTGTTTCCCCCACCCTCAGCATGCCTTAGTTGCCTGTGGTTCTTTGTGTAGTACTGAGGCCACTTTGGCGTGTCTACTGCTGGTGTCCTTGTTCAGCTCAGGTTTAGACAGTCATGTTGGTAAGACTTTATAGGTGTACTTTCCAATATTCCTAGAGGACAAGTGCTCATCAAACTTCTTGCTCCTCTTACAGTCCGTCCTTATTTATCTCCTTAGAGCTTGTGACACCAAAGAAATAAGGCTCTGAGGGTAACCATATCATGATATCTGTGTCTCAGTCATCACAAGAATTGCTTCAGCCGATCTAACTGACAAAACAGAATCACCCTTAATGAACATGACTTTCCAAGGGAGGATTTCAGTTAGCCAAAGCCAGGAAGAAATTGCTGAGTTCCCCAAATAGAGACCACAAGCAGAACTGGAAATGATAGTGTAAGCCTTCAATCCTAAAACCAAAGGACCAAGGCAAGCAGATCTCCCTGAGTGCAAGGCCAGCCTGGTCTACAAAGCAGATTCCAGCCTAGTCAGGCTAAACAGTAAGACCCTGTCTCAAGGAAAGAAAGAAAGAAGGAACAAGAAAGAAAGAAAGAAAGAAAGAAAGAAAGAAAGAAAGAAAGAAAGAAAGAAAGAGAGAGAGAAAGAGAGAAAGGAAGAAAGAAGAAGAAAAGGAAGAGAGAAAGAAAGGAAAGAAGGAAGGAAGGAAGGAAGGAAGGAAGGAAGGAAGGAAGGAAGGAAGGAAGGAA